AGACGTTCATTCAAATCAACCAAACAATAGAAATGAAACCAACGATGAAGTTACACAAAAGCTTGAAACGATGAGATGATGCAACAAATGCTTTTTTTTCTTGAATAAAACAGCCGCGATACTATTACAATCAAGGATCACGCCTGCTGTCAAACTGAGTTTTATTCACAAAATTAGTTGTCGTCGTCGCAGTGATCATGTTGTCATTATTAGTGGAAGCAGAAGACATAGTAGTAAAATCAGTGCGGTAACTCATAAAAAGGCTTTTCGAGGCAGCTAACGGTACCTAATTTTTTATGCGTAATAATTACTGAACTACTCTAGTGTACTACTGGATAAAAAAATAATTTACGGACTTATGTTCCCAGACAATGATAAGTCAAGCAATATACTGCACGCCAAAATTTAAAAATGGATGTATAACCATCACTGGGCGACAAACTCCTTGCTTTTTTATCACACCCATAGATTGTATTCCTATGACATATTTCCTAAAAGTTGCAAGATTTGGGAGTAATAATTACCATCTGTATTTGAATTTTTTGATATGATACCCTGGCGGTATTGTAACAATAACCAGCAGGTCAGCTAGAAAGTTCCTGATTCTTGCTCCTGGTCGAAAATTTTAATTTTGACACTTGTGGCCTACGAGCGACTGGTACGTTTGTCGTGCATGGCTTTGGTCAGATTACTTGATTGATCGACAGTATCGATCGGCTCCACCCAATTAGGTGTAAGTATGAAACTGCTCTCACTCAGTGATTTGTTGACTGTTTGAATACCTGTTTAACGCCATTCGGACATCATGTGACGCATAAGACAGTCGACCTGCCTGCCCGCATGCGTGTTGCCCGCTCCTGCTTACTCACCAGTCAATGGACCGGCTACATGTGTCCACTACAATAAACGTACTGATTAATTCATTGCGTGATTATCCACCCACTTAAACAGGGACACAACAGACTGAAGCAAAACCTCAGCCATCTCGTTCCCAATCAGTTTGAAAGTTTTGCTGGCCGTGGGCAAAAATGTCCGTCTATATGTCCCATGTTCCTATTACGTAACTTCCCAAAAGGTTATTAAATTGAAATGATTGCACTGATTTTCCCTGATGATAAACATATTTGAATTGGGTTCTAAGAGATTCATTTGCTTATCTCAAGGAAACTTCTGTCAACCTTGTTCTTGCAGGTTTTTACATTTTTATCAAATATACAACTCTGAAAACAATTTCTAATTAGTTGGAAGCGGTCAATCAAAGAGCTGCCGCGTGATACAAGGGGATGGGAATGTAAAAAAATAGGCTATCTCAACTTTAATCTTTTCAGCTACCTGCTTAAAAGTTTGATGAATGCATCTCGCGGAACAACCATAGAATTTACATAACCGTTTTGTAATTCAATATATATTCACCTACTACACAAAGTACACGACACAGACCAAGTCTTACTTTAAATTTCACTCGTAAAACTAGCACCTTTGTGAACTGGTTTCGATTGTTGTATCTGGCCAACCCATTTGATCTACCCATTAAAAAGTTTGAACAGGAAAGAATGACTGCGAATAAGTTTTTATTTAACTAAAAATTCCCATCGTGACATTGACAGAACAACACGAGTAGCGAACAAGCTCGTTTTCGATAACTTCATCCTTTGGCTAATACAGTTATATACATTTAGTGAATGAACGTGCAACAAATAATATCAGAACAAAAATGCGTTGATTGGACGGTATGTAAGTGATTAAGAGACAGATTTCGCACTGTAGTCTGAAGGATACATTCCAATTTGTGGAACTTATACGCAAACAACGCACGGCTGGTTTGTCTGTGGCCTCATTAGATGTAACATCGTTGTTCACAAATGTTCCTTTTGGTGGAAACAATAAACTATTTATGTGACTACATCATGGCCAACGAGATAAACATCAGTATTCCATTGGCTAACTTGAAGGAGTTACCACTGCTTCAACGTTCAGTTCAGCGTCAATGGAGAATTATACAGGCAAACGGACGGAGTTGCAGTGGGATCACCTCTGGGCCCACTTTTGGCTGACATATTCGTCGCAAAATTGGAAAACCAGGAACTCCGAGACATCATAGAAGGTTTACCATTCTATTTCCGTTACTTTGACGATATTTTCATATTAGTTGACGAAAATATACCGTTGCAAACACTGACCAGCACGTTTAACCGTGCTCACGACGCGCTCAATTTCACGTTGAAAATGGAAACTGCTAACACATTCCATTTTCTAGATGTTCATCTCACCAAGCGCTCGGACGGAACAAATAATAGAGCAGTCTACGGAAAACACACATGGACAGGTCAGTACACTCATTTCGCCAGTTTTGTACCTTTGGGGTGTAAGTGAACCCTCGTCCGATCCCTCGCTGCTCGCGTCAGAAATATATGTTCAGCAGAAAATCTGGAGTTAGAATTGAGCCGGCTCAGGCAAACCCTATTGAACAATGGATATCCCGAGAAATTTATTGAAAGTAATCTATATGAAAGAGCCAAAAGAACAACGGTAACTATAGTAAGTCAAAAGCAAATCGATATACGTCTCCCGTTCAAAGCTGACTACAAATGCGATTGTTAAAAAGAAGCCCAAATAAGTCGATCACTCGAACATTTCCTGCGGCTTGGTTACGTACACAATTCATTAGCCGACCTTTGTTGTCATTGAATCTCAAAGATAAATTGTCTATCCTCACTTCCTCCATGTTGACCTATTTTTTGTTTGCCCATGTTCGACAAGCTACATCGGCAGGACGATCAGGCAGTTTTCTCAAAGAACCAAGCAACATAAACCGGCTTGGTTAAACACAGGAACCACAAGGACCGTTTCGAGTGCAATCACGGAGCACCTCTTAGATACCGGACATCAGATAACTGCAGATGCGTTCAACATTATCTACAGGGTACCCCCAAACCCCTCCAAAACCCTCCGACAGCGCCATCTTGCGACAGCAGAGGCCGTAGTAATAAGGTTATTGCGACCAACTCTATGCTCACAAAAACAATTTGTTAAAGTTTTTATTTATTTGAGAAGTTAATTCTACCTAAATAGCTCTGGGATGACGCAATGGCTAGCTTACAGTCGGATTAAACAATTCATAAGGCGGGATAATCTTTTGTTGCCTTGAAATCTTTACCAGTGTGGTTCACTAATTTCGATCCATATTACCTTGATGAAACCAACCGTTACAGACAACACAACAATCAGCACCGATTTCTGTCATTCCAAGTCTCACAGCATTCAATCGCTCATACTGACGCACGCAGTCATTTTTCTTTAACATACTCAGCGCTACATCCTTTCAAATTAGTATCGCCTGATTGTGCATATTACCAAATCGATTTCATTATTCTACAGACGCGTTGCATTCGATACACGTGCTGTTTCTCATTCGCCAACTTACCTTTTGAGGTCGTTCCGTCACAGAGAACGTTACTCCACCAAACGGTTTGACCTTGTCTGTAGGCCAGTCTGTTTCCGCACTTTCACTGATTAGCCGATACATTGCAAACTCCGGCAGTTGAACATTTGTCTGAAGGACGTGATAAACTGACTGAGAAGAACTGATTATCAGCGGTTGACAGGGAAAAACAGAGTAACCGAATTTTTAATAGAGAATCTTTTGCGCAGATAGACCTGGATAACTGAAACAATCCTGTGAGAATGACAGAAGCTTCTGGGGTTACAGTAACTCTTAGTTAGGTGTGAGCCAATCAGTGGTTCTGTAATGTATGAAACTGACCTCGATACAATTATTATACACTTTATATGCATTGAATATGCAAAGCATACGAATCGAATAAATTCCGCGAGCTATTCCACTTGAAGTTGTTCTATTTGGAGGATCGGTATTGCGTGAATCCTGGAACGTCATTCCGAATACTGTTCTCAATACTAAATTTGGCGTCGCGGCCGATCTACTGAACCATGAATTCTACTTCGCTAGAATCCCTTTACCTAAACTGCAGTGCACGAGATATTGAAGATTATTTTGAAAGTTCTGATATTTGGTGGTTGACTCGTTCGAAGCCCGATGATGAAAAAAATCCGCGTTCTTTTTTTAATGCGGCTGGTAAAAATGCTTGTACTCCAATCAAGAACTTGGCTCATTCTTCTACACCTTCTACACAGTACAAGGATTTAAAATCCCTTCTTCTACAGCATGTGAAGCCGAAGAACTTTGAATTCTCAGATAAGGCAAACTTTCATATAATGGAACGCAATCCGAACCAGGGATTCCGTGAATCTGTCGACAAAGTATTGAAAATCGGTTCTCGTCGGTCGGGTGAACTGAATTATATTCCGCCTGTTCGCCGAGCTTGGAAATTTGTTTGCAAACATTTCATCACCAGCCGAGGTGACATCATCAGCGCTTGTGAAGTGGATCCGGACGCTAAACTGCAGCCGTCCACTGTCACCATAGATGGCATTACTGGACATTCGTTGCCTGTGGTTGGTTCTTGTGAGTTTTCAGTGACCGATGAACATTCCAAAAGTGCTACCTGTACATTCACTGTGATCAAGTCTGGCCCCTCCATACTAGGTTTGAAGGCTATGAAAGAACTAAATGTCACTTCCCTTGTTAACCTCTGTTGATAGTGAAAAGGAACTGAAAAATTTGATTATTAAATGCTCAAAGGCCAGTAATGGCATGAAAATCCTCCCAGTGAAACTACCAGTTAATGGCAATCCAGTTTTTCTCAAATGCCGACTTATTCCCTATCGCCTGCCAAGAATGCACTGAACTATTTGTGTTCCAAAAGTGTTACAGAGAAGGTGGCGTAGTCAGCATGGGGTACACCAATCATCACACCACTCAAGTCGGATGGCAAGACCCCCAGAATATTTGGCGGCTAACGAATCTCCCTGAATCGAAAACTGTTAAAACAGACATATACAACTGTTGAATCAGAGAACATTCTGAATCAATGGACTGGTTCTGAGGTCTTTTCAAAGATTGATTTGAAAGATGCTTATCGACAAATCCCGTTGGACGAAACTTCCTCCACTTTGATAACTTTTAATACCCCGTTTGGTTTTTACAGATATAAATTTCTGTTGTTTGATTAATCCATTTCTCCTGCCATATTCCAACGCGTTCTGAATGACATTACTAGCGGTATTTCTGGTGTGGAATTTTATTAAGATAACATTATTGTTGATGCTTCTGACAAGTCCGCTCATGACACACGATTGATTGAACTCTTTCGTAGGTTTTCTGATAAAAATGTTACCGTTAATACTAAGAAGAGTTTATTTTTTGTCTCTCATTTTGATTGTCTCGGATACTTAGTAGATGGTAAAGGTTACAAACCTGACCCAAACCGCCCGCCACCTCTGACGAACGCCAAATCACCCTCTAACATACACGAACTCAGATCCCTGACTGGAGCCTTACAGTACTACTCTAGATTTATCCCTAATTTCAGTCAGAATGCTTCATCCCTATTTCTTATCTCATCTGCTGACAAATTTGTTTGGACTGATGTTCATGAACTTTGCTAACGTAGATTCATAAATTTTCTGCAGACGGATGTTGTACTTCATCCATTCAATCCCGAAATTCATTCCACCGAGATTACTGATGCATCGCCTGATAAAATTGGTGGTATTCCTGAACAAAATAGGTATCCAATTATTTTTGTCTCGACGGTTAACAGCAGGTGAACGAGGTTATGCGCAGACTCATCGCGAAGCCTTAGCTGTATATTGGGCAGTCCAACGTCTCCATAAGTTCCTTTTTAGTCATCGTTTCACCGTCATCACCGATCATAAGTCCTTGAAATTTATTTTCGACCATGGGAAATCCCTTTTAGAAGCTCTGCACTTATGGCTCAGCGTTGGCGCATTTCACTCAGTGCATATGACTACACAATTGAACATCGCAGCGCGAAATACATCCGACTCGTGGATTATACTACGCGTCAGTCGCTACCCCCTTGTGACTCAGAGGACATTTCTGATTCACCACTGATACAACCTCTTCCTCTGAGCCACCAAAAACTTAATCTTGACACACGTCGTAATTTCTCTGCTGTGATGACTGCTTTGCGGAAGGGTTGGAATGCACAGACCATGAAGCGATTTCCATGTCACTAAGCTAGACGTGAACTTTCAATTACATCTGCTGTATTTGAATGACAGAGTTGTTATTCCGCTGACTTTGTGTAAAGCCGTAGTTGACGACCTACATCCCGGCCATCTTAGGATAGAAAAGATAAGGTCATTTGCTAGGTTAACTTTTTGGTGGCCCAACATGTGCTCCAAAAAAGCTGCTCTTAATATTACCACAAAGCTCAACAGTCGCTATTTAAGTGGGTTCCGTGGTCTGTTTCAACGGAGGCTTGGCAACGTGTTCATGTTGATTATTGTGGTCCATTTCTCAATGGAATGCACGCTGTTGTTTTCACTGACTCCTTCTCCAAGTGGCCGGAGGTATTTTTCACTAGGTCACTCTCAGCAAATTTTACCATTCATACTTTTTGTAAAGCTTTCAGCCGGGAGGGTACACCTGGTGTACTTGTTACTGATAATGGCATTCACTTCTCCGCGAAATGTTTCAGAATGGCTACATAACATTGGACAAGCAGAGAATTTTGTCAGAACACTCAAGAGTACTATTACTGCTTTGAACCCATCCACATTTTCTGAACTTGAGAGAGGTGGTGACCTGTTCCTTTTACAATATAGTAATCCCGTTCATTCTTCCACTAAATAAGGATCTGCTAAACTTTCCAGTGGTCGAAATTTGAGATCCAATTTATTTTGTTAATCCCTCTGAAGTTGTATTTTTCCGTGGTAATAACCTGAGACCCCATTCAGGAATTGCCCTAAAGGATAATTTGTCTGTACACAGAAGATAAGTGGGCCAATCTCGTTTTGACGCCCCAAGTCAGTCTGTTTCATTTCATGATGAACTTTCCGAGCCTAATAACCATTCTTTAGATTCTGAGCAACTCGATAGGACTAATGAACAGAATGCTGAACAACAAACTGCTACGCAAGAATTACCTATGAATGAGTGATCTGTACGAAGGTCTGAACGACTGAGTGCGAAGCCGCAGCTGGATTACAGAAACTCTGTGGTCAATTCAAGGTGTGGCGAGTGTAATGTATGAGACTGATCTCGATATAATTATTGTACACTTTATATGCATTGAATAAGCAGAGCATAAGATTTGAATGAATTCCGTGTGCTATTCCATTCGAAGTGGTTCTGTTTCGGGGATAGGTACTGCGCAAATTCCGGAACTCCATTTTGAATACTATTCTCAATATTATCGGCTCCACAAAAGGTAATCTATACACGGAGTTGATTGTGGAATGAAGGATAAAGTCGCGTAAGAACACTCACTACGTCTTTTTAGTGCAAAAATAACAAATTGTGAAAGCTTCTTTAAAAGACCAAAAATTTATTGCTAATGTCACGGACTATCCATAATGTAAATCAATCAATCTTGGTAGATGTACCATGTATATTTGCATCCAGGGCATATGAATATGTGATACAGAACAAACAATCAATAATGACCCATGGTTAACACAACATACTAGAATGCGGTTTTATACTGCCAGAAAATCTCACCACAAACATTAATTAAGAATAAAATTGTCGGAGAAAATCAACATTTTAATTGAACCAGTAGAAACGTTTTCCCAACTTGCCCATCGCACGAAGGCACCGCATACGCCTTGACCGATACGATGAATTCTGAGTCACGTGGTGGTCGAAGTTGAAAGCAATACTCCGACGGGTAATCCGATCGCTCAGACGGATGTCTGTCGAACCACAATACAATGCAGGGCGTCAAAAATTGTTTGTTAGGTCATTAATGAATGAATGATCCGCTTAGGTGCGGATAAATATAAATCAGATAATTTGAACAAGCCGACACCAGAGCTGCCAGATTTGCATAAGTAGTAGCCAGAAAGAGAATCATATCCGCTGATAAACTGAAAGATCACCAGAAAGTGCAAAATGTCTTAACGAAGGGAGACCGTAGTGCAATTTGCTTAATCTCTTTTGTAAATCACTACCAAGAATCCCGTTTTCAGAGGCTGATTCTAACCAGAAAAGCTCATTGTAGTAACAATAAGGTAGAAAAATTCGAAGTCTTGCCTTGTGTGCATGTTGCAACATGTCTTTATTCTGCAGTAAAGGTATGGGCTAGTGAGAAGTTGCGCCTTCGCATAGGGCAAGTCATTTCACATCTTTCCCATAAGAAGGAGTCATGATTAATTTTCGTAATACTCAGTTGATCTAAACTTTAAATACCACTCGCATTGCTTCGTCAGCAAACGAAAACGTAATAATAAGGAAAGAGTTAGTAGACGAAAGTCAAACATCAGGCTTCACAGTGATTAGCCTTGGCTTTAGGTGCGGTGGTTTCGAGTTCCGTCTTTCCACTTCCCATTTGGTCGCCCACTGAGTGAAGCATAAATAGCAGGAGTTAACACATGAATCACAATCGGAGGATGGCGAAATGAAGTGAACTGGAACTGCAA